GAACAACTAAAAATATGTAGAAAAAATTAGCCAGGCATGGTGGCACATGCCTGTAGTCCCAGCTACTCAGGAGGCTGAGGCAGAAGGATTGCTTCAGCCCAGGAGTTTGAGGTTGCTGTGAGCTAGCCTGACGCCATGGCACTCTAAGCCAGGCAATAGAGCAAGACTCTTGTCACAAAAAAAAAAAAATTAAAAAAATTAAAAATTTGATTTCCTATATCAAACCCATTATAAAGATTAAAGAACAATGACAATGTCTTGAAACACATTTTATCAGCTTTGAGATCATCACATGCTTTATGGGTAGAGGAAATGTTCCTGTGAGATCAAACTAAAACTTTGGCATTAAGCAAATATGATGGCACTCTCTGTAACTTTTCAATAGTTTATAATAACAGGAGACAGAATCTATCATATTTATACTGAAATATTACATTGGCCCCACCTAGTCTCCCATTGTTTATCATGCTCCTGTGTCAACAGAACATATTCTCTAATCTTCTCTTATTTTATTGAAAGGGAAAATAACTGGCATAGGAGTACTTCAAGTTTTCAAACAAGATTTTTTCAACAAGATTTTTTATTCCTGGGGCCTCTCATCAAATATTGATATGATCAGTATTTTATTTTCTTTTTAGCCAAAGCTGAATAAATTTGGAAGATGAATAATTTTTATTTCCACACTCCTGAGCTTGGCATGCAATGCTCTGGCCATGGCTTGCCTCGTAGCCCTGTCTCTCACTATGCCTTCCCTTGAAGTCTGAGCTCTGTCCATATGGAACTCTTGGCAGTTTCCTGAAAGTGCCATGCCATTTACACTTTGTGCCGATGTTCCCTATATCAGTCTTTGCCAAGTCTTAAGGAACATGCTGGTGCCAACAGACAGTTGGGTTAAAAATGCATCTATAACACTTCATTCATTATACTTTTTTATTTGTGTCTATTGCCCCTACCAGACTATAACTTTCTCAGTAGCAGAAATCACGTCATTAATTTTTTTCCCCAGAGCCTACCTAAGTGTCCAACATATATGTTCATTACTTATGGAATAAATTAATGAATTAAAGAGTGACAGAATTAACCATACCTTTACAGAATAGATCATCCTTTTAGATGCTAAAAGTATCCAGAATAACAGAGGAGTTAAGCTAGAAGGGAAGTCCATGAGGTAGATGTCCAAGTCTGCAGAAAACATGGGGAGAGAGACTTAGTACTAATAGATATACCAAAAAGGCTAAAGAAGATGGTAGAGCCACGTATCTTAAGGCTTGCAGGAGAAAAGTGTTTTTGCATTTGTGAAATCACAAGGGGAAACAAACCAAATGGCAATACTGCCTCCCAGTGGCACTTGGGATAAAGGCCTCTATGCCAGAGGACTTTTAAGGATAAGTAGCTTTCGCACATTCAGTGGTTCTGGACTATGGGTTATGTGTGAGAGATAAAAGTTTTATCTCATTTAACTCTCACAAAGACCCATTATAGAGATACAGTATGTAGCATAGGGGTCAAACACTGAGATTCTGGAGTCAGGCTGTCTGATTCCCCACTTAATGTCTCTCCTACATACTAGCTATATGACCTTGGACAAATTACTTAAGGTCTCTGCATATTTCCCCTCTGTAAAGTAAGGATAATTTTGGTACCTACCGCATAGAGTTCTTATGAGAAATAAATTCTTAAATTCTTAAAATCATCCAAGTCTTAAAAAACCATGGGGAGACAGTATATCAGAAGCTATATACAGGCACACCTCATTTTTTCCAGCTTTGCTTTGTTGCACCCCATGGATATTGCATTTTTTAACAAATTGAAGGTTTGTGGCAACCCTGCATTGAGCAAGTCTATTGGTGCCATTTTTCCAACAGTATGTGTTCACTTTGCATCTGTGTCACATTTTGGCAATTCTTGGCATATTTCAAACTTTTTTATCATTATTGTATCTGTTATGGTGATATGTGATGTTACTTTGTTATCTTATTTTAAGAAATTGCCACAGCCACCCCAACCTTCAGCAACCACCATCTTGACCAGTCAGCAGCCATTAACATGAAGGCAAGACCCTCCCACCAGCAAAAAGATTACGACTCTCTGAAGGCTCAGATGATCATTAGCATCTTTTAGCAATAAAGTGTTTTTTAATTAAGGTATGTACATTTTTAGACATAATGCTATCATACATTTAATAGACTATAGTATAATGTAAACATCACTTTTAATATACACTGGAAAACAAAAAAATTTGTGTGACTCATGTTATTATAATATTCACTTTATTGCAGTGGTCTAGAACTGAACCTGCAATATCTCTGAAGTATGCCTGTAAATGCTAGCTACTGTATTATTATTCCCTTTTTCCTGATAAGAAAACTAATGTTAAGTAAATTGAGCATTGTCTTAGTCTATTCTGGCTGCTATAACAAAATACAACAAACTAGGTGGCTTATAAACAAAAGAAATTTATTTCTCACAGTTCTGGAGGCTAGGAGTCCAAGATCAAAGTGCCAGCAGATTCAGTGTCTGGTAAGGGCCTGTTTTCTGGTTCCTAGATGGCACCTGCTAGCTGTGTCTTCATGTAGCAGAAGAGGAAGGTAGCTCTCTAGGACCACTTTTATAAACTCCCATTCATGAGGGCAGAGACCTTATGAGCTAATCACTTCCCAAAGGCCCCACCTCCTAATACCATCAATTGGAGATTACGTTTCAACATATAAATTTTGGGGGGACACAAATATTCAGATCAAAGCAAGCATATAGTAGGAACTCAGTAAATATAACTTACTTTGCTCTCTCCCCTTATGTCTTAGCTGCTTAAAGTGCTGTCCTCCTTAGGGGTCCTAGAATTTAAATAGGAGACTTCCAATGACAACCCCCCAAAAAAACATTAGTTCCTAAAGGCAGCAACAAGGAAGCTGAGAAACCTCCATTAAAAAGTCCAGGGGGAGACCCATGCGCACACATGCAGTGGCTCACACCTATAATCCTAGCACTCTGGGAGGCCAAGGCAGGAGGATCACTCAAGTTCAGGGATTCAAGACCAGACTGAGCAAGAGCAAGACCCCGTCTCTACTAAAAATAGAAAAATTAGCTGGATGTCCTGGTGCACACCTGAAGTCCCAGCTACTCAGGAGACTGAGGCAGGAGGATCCCTTGAGCCCAAGAGTGTGAGGTTGCAGTGAACTACAGCGATGCTACTGCACTCTACCCAGGGCGACAAGGACTCTGTCTCAAAAAAAAAAAAAAAAATGTCCAGGAGGAAGGGGGGAATATGGTTCCAGAAAAGAGCAGTCTGCAAAGCACTCTTGTTACTACTGTTAAAGTGAAGACCCTCCCAGCCAGGAAATTCACTCTACCCAAAACAGGATGCATAGGGATAGTGAAAATCAACTAAGTTTTAGGGAGGAAGCCAGATCTCTTGGAATATTCAAATAAGTATTATCTGCCCAGAGCCCATTGTTTACTACTTTGATCACAGAAGTTGGGAGATCATGATCATTTTCAGGATTAGGCTAATATTCACTTACTAGAGATGCTAGCTTCCCCTTGCTCTTGCACTATTGCTGTAAAAATAAAATTCGTTAAAATGATGGTTTTCAAGTGACTCATTACTGATGTGATTACTAGACTGCCCACTCCAATCCACAATGCAATGAGAAGTATCATTACACAGTAAGACTGATTGGCAGATCTGCACATCAATAGCAAATGGACTCCTTTCATGCTTATAAAGCTCTCAATGATTCTGCAGGCTTTCTTTAATTCATATTTTAGTACTCCTGGGTGTTGTTTTTGAGAAGCTGAATATACAAACAGACAATGGCCAGATCATATATAAAAACAGAACTCAGACCCACAATTTGCAGCAAGCCTGCCCAGGAAACCAATCTCCTTATCTAAAATAAACAGCCCAGGAAGTCAGCCTGCTATAAGTCACACTTGTAGGAAGTCCGACTGCTATCACTAGTAATGGTCTAGGAGGGCAAACAATAACCTCTGTAACAATGAGCCCAAAATTATTAATTAGGGACAGCTTCCCTAATTTTGTCATAGCTTCCAATTTAGGTCCAATCAGAGAAAGTCAAACTTGCATGGCTAAGCAATTACATAAGACTAAGATGTCCTTCTAGTTAGTCCACCTACAGCTTCTCCAGGCCAACAGCCTACTATCAGGGCATACCTGAAGCCTTCCCTTTTTTCCACTATAAAGCTTTCCCACTCCTCCGCCTGCCTTTGAGTCCCTACCAAATGCAAGTAATGGTGTCTGACTACGGTCCTGTAGTAAGTGCTGAACAGCCTATGCTTTTCTCATCTGGCTGATCTTCGTTTATTTCCACATATCGGACCTAGTAATTCTATGAAGACCTAATTTACGAAATCGCTTAAAAAGTATTAGTGTCATTTCTTTTTTTCTTTTTTTTTTTTTTTTTTTGAGACAGAGTCTCGCTTTGTCACCCTGGCTAGAGTGCAGTAGCATCACTGTAGTTCACTGCAACCTCACACTCCTGGGCTCAAGTGTTCTCCTGCCTCAGCCTCCCGAGTGCTTGGGACTACAGACACACGCCACCATGCCTGGCTAATTTCTTTCTATTTTTAGTAGAGACGGGGTCTCATTCTTGCTCATTCTGGTCTCGAACCCCAGAGCTCAAGTGACCCTTTCACCTGGGCCTCCTAAAGTACTAGGATTACAGCCGAGAGCCAGCATGCCCGGCCTAATTTCTAAAACATCCACAAAGTTCCCATGGAACATCATTTTTACTTCATCTTAATCACCTAATTCAATATGCTACAGGCCTCATATTTCCGGAAAAGATCCTCTTCCTGGTATGGACACGGCCTCCTTTTTCTGCCAACAAAAGCCTAGTGGCGGAGCAGGTGACTGCCCACTCCTGCGACTCCCGCAGCCCAGGCCGACACCGAAAGGGAACTACAATTCCCGGCGGCCCCGGAAGTCGGCGGGCGACAGACCATGCGCCTGCGCAGTGGTGGAGGGCTCGCTTGTGCTGTTCCCGCCAATTCTTGTGGCACTCCAGCCCGGGTCTAGTTCCGCGCTCAATGGAAACGTTTGACCCCACCGAGCTGCCCGAGCTGCTTAAACTTTATTACCGGAGGCTCTTTCCCTACGCCCAGTACTATCGCTGGCTCAACTACGGCGGAGGTGATGGAGGTGGGGAGTGGGGTGGGGAGTGGGTCGGGAACGGAGCGTAAGGAGGTTCCGGGCGGGGTATCCTTAGGATGACTGTGTGAAGTGCCCCCTGTGCTCCAGGCATTGGGCCGGGCACTTTCATGCTTTATCTCAAGTCCTTCCCACCACCCCTGAGGAGTAAATGGGCCGAGAGTGGATATAATACCCAGGCTGCGGCCACACCGTAAAAAACAGCTGCTGCTCCTACCTCTTCGTGGTCAGGTTCACATTAGGTGGTGCTTCATTTACCTGCAGCTGTGCCAAGGGGGTTACTAAGTCGTAGCATGAAGCTACAAAGGGACAGGGACAGAAGAGCCTTTCCTGCTTCCCCACAGCTGAATTTATTAGTGCCCACTGAGGAGAGAGAGGTGACATCACATATTTAAAACATTTCTACATCTGTTTTCTCATCTTTACTCTCCCCTAATAAATGTGGTATGGTAAGCCCTTTCAAATTAGGAACTAGGTACCACTTTTTATTTTACATCTATGTAGCACAGTGTTGGGCACAGGAGACTCTTTAAAAATATCTTCTCATTGGTTAAAATTATAATGTCCTGAGCTGAATAAAGTACCAAATTAACTTTAAAATGTTCGCTCATTTTGCAGTGATAAAGAATTACTTTCAACACCGTGAATTTTCATTCACATTGAAAGATGATATTTACATTCGCTACCAATCCTTCAACAACCAAAGTGATCTGGAAAAGGAGATGCAGAAAATGAATCCATACAAGATTGATATAGGCGCGGTATATTCCCACAGAGTAAGAAATCTTTTTTAAATATATTTTGTTGTTTTGTTTGTTAAACCAAGAATGGGTTGGTGCCTCCAGCATTTTGAGATAAATTTTTAGAATTTACTCAGGTTGAAAAGCCACTTTTTAACTGTTTTTGCAAGTAGATTGATCTTTTTGTTCTTTGACACTCTGCATTACTGACTGGAAATCATTTGGAAGTGAATTGGTTGCATTCTCACCAGGACAAAAAAAATTGAGTATCTGGCTAAAAGACTAAATTAAGAAGTCATCATGATTTAAGAGAAGGAAATAAAAGAGAATTACATTCTCTTCCAGCATTGGAGTTATTCTTTTTTTTTTTTGAGACAGAGCCTCACTCTTTTCCCCAGGCTAGAGTGCCATGGCGTCATCCTAGCTCACAGCAACCTCAAACTCCTGGGCTCAAGCGACCCTACTGCCTCAGCCTCCCGAGTAGCTGGGACTACAGGCATGCGCCACCATGTCCAGCTAATTTTTTCTATATATTTTTAGTTGTCCAATTAATTTCTTTCTATTTTTAGTAGAGACGGGGTCTCGCTCTTGCTCAGGCTGGTTTCGAACTCCTGAGCTCAAACGATCTGCCCGCCTCGGCCTCCCAGAGTGCTAGGATTACAGGCGTGAGCCACTGCGCCCGGCCTGGAGTTATTCTTGATTCCTCTCTCTCACACTCCCATACTCGTCCCATACCTGTTCTGTTAGGAAATCCCTTTGGCTCTACCATAATATCTATCTAAAATCCAGCCACTACTACCAGTGTTACCAGCAGCATCTGTTATCTGAATTAATGTAAAAACCTCCTAACAATCTGCCCCTATAGAATCTAGAATTAATTGTCAACATAAAAGCTAAAGTAATCCTTTTAAAACAACTCAGATTCTGTGATTCCTCTGCTCAAAACCATTCTCTGATGACTCCTCATTTCACTCAGACTAACTGCCTTTCTCTCCCCACACCCACTCCATTCCCGCCAGGCTGACCTTTCCTCAAGCTGTTTCCACTGCCAAGAACACATTTCCCCAGATATCTACTTGGTTTGTTCCCTCACCTCCTTCAAGTCTTAACTCAAGTAGCACCTTCTCAATGAGGCCCACTACAAACTGCTACTCCTCCATCCCCACTGATACATTCTAAGCGCCTAGAAGAGTGCCTGCCAGAGATAGTACCCAGTATTTGTTGAATGAATGAACAAACCAAAACTGCCCTTCTTAACAATACACACATAATAGCTTTTGTATGGAGTTTTTCATACATTGTATAACTTGTTCTTCATATCAATCCTCATTCTTTTTACAAAGGAGAAAATGAGCCCAGAGAACTTGGTTAGCCCAAGGTCACACAGTTTCTCAATGGTAGAGCTGGGACTCGAACCCAGGTTTTCTGACTCTAAATCCCAGACTTGTTTCTCATTATCAGGTTAAGGAGAGAAGGCAGGCAGGAAAAATACTTTGGAGCAATTTACTTCTTTAGAGATTGAGAACAAAACTGAGAATGAAACTCTAAAGAAGGGCCACGGTGCCACTCTACTGCCTTCTCCCTAACACTGAAGGAAGAAAAAAGTCTTATTTTTTTACTGAGCCAAGACAGAAGCATCTATAGACCCTTTTTTCTTTTTGTGTTTTGTTTTGTGATTTTTATCAGTTATGTATGCACAGTTTACAAAATCAAGTACTTCCGTTAGGCTTAAAAAGAAACCTGCAGCCTGGCTCATGTCTGTAATCCTAGCACTCTGGGAGGCCAGGCGGGTGGATTGTTTGAGCTCAGGAGTTCGAGACCAGCCTGAGCAAGAGTGAGACCCCGTCTCTACTAAAAATAGAAAGAAATTGGCCAAACAACTAAAAATAGAAAAAATTAGCTGGGCATGATGGCGTGTGCCTGTAGTCCCAGCTACCTGGGAGGCTGAGGCAAGAGGATCGCTTGAGCCCAGGAGTTTAAGGTTGCTGTGAGGTAGGCTGACACCACAGCACTCTAGCCCAGGCAAGAGAGTGAGACTCTGTCTCACAAAAATTAAAAATAAAACCCGCTACCTCTCCCCCTCATTTTTTGTCACCCAGAAGCAACTGCTTTCTTTTTCCACGGTCCTCCAACCCCACCCCTGGCCATGGCTTATTAGAAACTAGGCTGCACAGGAGGTAAGTGGGGAGTGATTGTGGAGAGTGATCATCTGTATTTATTTACAGCTGACCTCATTGCTCACCATCCCAACCTCCACCCTACCCCTGTCAGTGGAAAAACCGTCTTCCATGAAACTGGTCCCTGGTGCCAAAAAGGTTGGGGACCAAGATGATTCTTACAGTATTTGCCTCCTTATCTCTGAATAATATGCTTATATTTTTTCCATTTTAACACATTAACTGCCATGTGAGTTGTATTTAACTCACGCTAGTTTTGAGCCCGGGGCCTCGTGAAGCATATGTAACTACAGGTGGCTCATGAAAATCTTACTTGTTGATGTTCTCTTATTCTTACAATTAATAATGACAATTTAATTGCATATAACTCATGCACAGAAAACAAAAAATAACAAATTTTTCATTAAGTTAGAAAGGATCGTTTCTAAGTTTTTATTCCATTTTTGTAATAAAACACTGTGACCCCAAGGAAAAAATTTTTTTTTCTAGTGTGGCAATCACAGCCACAAGACCAGCCTGAGCAAGAGCAAGACCACCCTGTCTCTACAAAAAATAGAAAAATTAGCCGGGCCTGGTGGTGCACACCTGTAGTCCCAGCTACTCAGGAGGCTGAGGCAGGAGAATGGCCTGAGCCCAGGAGTTTGAGGCTGCAGTGAGCCATAATGATGCCACTGCACTCTAGCCCAGGTGACAAAGTGACACTCAGTCTCAAAAAAAAAAAAGAGTACTAAAAAGCTTATTGGAAGCTCTGTGTACATGGCTGAGATTTCTTTACAGTAGGGCCATCTGGCTAGGCCATGTTATTAGGGAATCTCTGATGTCATTTTCTCTGGATCGTCACCAGAATGAAAACTCCACTAGCACAGAGATCTTCATTTTCATCACTGATTTATCCCTAGAGCCTAGAACAGTACCTGGCACATCTAGTCATATTCTTCAGAAAGGAATCTTCCAGTCTCCTGCCTGGGTTGGCAGGGTATAGAAGTAGGAAGGGCTGTGTGTCTTAACATTCCATATATAAATGTCTAATTATTCCCCCTAATATCAGTATGATACACTCTTCTTCAGTGTGCCTGTTGTCCCCCAAGCCCACCCCACCTCCAATCCAGAGACCCTCTGTTTTTTACTCTCCACATAGATAACTCAGGTGTCTTCAGCCAGGGAAATGGAAGAGCAGTCACCTAGCTCTGCAGGGTAAGTGTAGGAACCTGGGGAGCTAACTGCTTCTTAAATAGGCTTTGAACCAACCCCCCTGTTTTTAATCTCTGGTTCACCACCACAAGAGATAGCTGGTATCACCTATTCCTGAGGCTTTGGGGGGTTCTGAGGTGTAATTTGGGTTGCTGCTTATCTTTCCTTACAGCCTAAGATTTTGCTTTTATGAGTCTCTTCATTTACCATTCCCTTCCGATTTTACAGTTATAAAAATTGTGGTAGTATTGTTTCTTCTCTGATCCATTGTTAAAAGGCATATGCCATTAAAAAAAAAAAAACACAAAAAAAACCTTACTGTCTTTTTTGTGGGATTTGGAAGGAGAAAAGTAAGTACCTGTGTTTAGTTAGCAGGTTATTTTCAGAGGTGAGGGGTCTTACTGTGTTGCCCAGGCTGGAGTGTAGTGGCTATTCACAAGTGTGATCATAGTGTACTACAGCCCCAAACTCCTGGGCTCAAGTGATCCTCCCACCTCAGCTCCTGAGTAGCTGGGACTATAGGTGTGCACCACCACACCCAGCCAGTACCTGTATTCAGTCTACCTTCTTTACCTGATAGACTATAATCTCTTTATAATAAAGTCTCAATTCAATCTAATAGGGGGGATCTTTTTGAATTATTGAAAAATTTTAAATAAATATGTATTTGTTACTTGCATATACAATAACAAGTAAAGGTCCTTAAAACACCTTGCAATAGGGCATTATTTGTATATACTTTTCCTTATCAGAAACTTAAAACAGCTTTATTGTGATTTTTATGGACCAACATATATTTATTGTGGATATTTACTTATCAAACCCTGTTTTAAGTGAGTGAAAGTTAAAACTCATCAGTTCTGTGTGTGGGATCCAAAGTAATGAATTTTAACTGACGTAGATTTGGCATTGCACAGTTACTTTGTTTTTCTTTGGCCACTTTTTCCATGTGGGTAGAAAATAAGCATATTTAGCAACATGGCAGCTCTTACAGAAACTGACATTTTGTATTTGTAGCCCAATCAACACAATACAGTGAAGCTGGGAGCTTTCCAGGCTCAGGAAAAAGAACTGGTGTTTGACATTGACATGACAGACTATGATGATGTGAGGAGGTGTTGTAGGTAAGCACTGTGTGCCTCGCTTTTAGGGTGGGTAACATCATTGACAGTGAGTAATGATGACTCTGCTCCAGTTCTGCAGACATATGCTCTAAGTGCTGGACCCTCATGACAATGGCCATACGCATCATCGACCGAGCATTGAAAGGCATGTATCAGCAGTGTCTGAGTGAGATCAAACACAAGAATCTATTTACCTCTGAATATTAGTCTCTGTATTTTATAATCAAATCTCATAAATTTCTAATATGTTTCCTTGAAACATACGAGAGGAAAATAAAAGATAAAAATACAATTAAAGTGGAAATTTTAAAAGCTATTAAACAAACCAGTGTGGTTTTTTTCCCCAATTCAGTCATCAATTGAGCAACTCTATGTGCTACATACTGTTCTAGATGACGGAAATATAAAAAATAACAATTCTTACCTCAAGTAGGTTACATAGTCTACGAAGGAGATCAATAAAAATTGAGGATTATATCTGTGTTAAGTAACATGCATGGAGTGCTATTATATACAGCAGGAGTGTACATAAGAATGGGAAGAGATTAGGTCAGAAAAGGCTTCCCAGAAAAGGTGGGAATGACGTTGATGATGATCATGATGATAGCTAACTCTTATATAGGGGGCTTACTATGTGCCAGGCACTATTCTAAACACTGTAAATATATTAACTCTTTCAATACTCCTAGGTTAAGTCTTTAAGATTAAATGACAATTGGTCAGGGAGAGATGGAAACACTGGGGCATAATGAAATTTTTGGCAGAGAGACCATGATGGGTAAAGAGATGAAGGCAAGAACATGGGAAGCACAGGAAACTACAAGTAATTTAGAATATTTAACATGAGAGTACATGTGGAAATCGGGTTAAAAAGTAAGAAAAGGGAGTTTATAGAATTTTTTTTTAAAACCTATTATTTCTCCCATTCTCAGAGGACTTTGGATTTAAGCATCGTCTCTGGGTATATTCTGGAAGGAGAGGTGTTCATTGTTGGGTCTGTGATGAATCAGTTAGAAAACTGTCCTCTGCAGTGCGTTCTGGGATAGTTGAGTATTTGAGTCTTGTAAAGGTAAGGTCCTCTTAATTGTAATTTACATTGCTTAATTTATTAGATGTTACCAAGCCTGATATGTTTAATAACAAAGGAAATTATTACAACTTTGTCTCAAGCAGTACAAAAGCAATCCATGTAACCAAAACATTTGTACCCTCATAATATTCTGAAATTTAAAAAAAAAGAAAGAAAATTAAACTATCTTTTTATTTACATTCAACAGTAGATGATTCTACCAGTAGATAATTTGAAGTCATAGTAGCCACATGTTTTACAATATTTTAGTTTGCTGTAAGTATCCTCCTTTGTGGTAAGAGGAAGATTAATTTTTTTTTTTTTTTTTTTTTTTTGAGACAGAGTCTCACTGTGTTGCCCGGGCTAGAGTGCCGTGGCGTCAGCCTAGCTCACAGCAACCTCAAACTCCTGGGCTCAAGCAATCCTCCTGCCTCAGCCTCCTGAGTAGCTGGGACTACAGGTGTGCGCCACCATGCCCGGCTAATTTTTTCTATATATTTTTAGTTGGCTGATTAATTTCTTTCTATTTTTAGTAGAGACGGGGTCTCGCTCTTGCTCAGGCTGGTCTCAAATTTCTGAGCTCGAACAATCCGCCCGCCTCAGCTTCCCACAATGCTAGGATTACAGGCGTGAGCCACCGCGCCCGGCCAAGATTAATTTATTTTTCTAGTTCAATTATGTCAAGTAGAATTAACCCAGAAAGTTACAGGTATTGAGACTATATAAAATAGCATCCAGGCTTCTCTATCTACAGAATTTAATCAGTATCTTTGAATTTACATAATTTTAAATATAGTAATTGAACATGTTAAAGAAAATTTTAAATTAGAGTCACATATCACTTAATGATGGGTATATATACTGAGAAATGTAATATCATACAAACATTATAGAGTGTGCTTATGTGAACCTAGATGATATATCCTACTTACACATCTAGGCTATATGGTAGAGCCTATTGCTCCTAGGCTACAAATCTGTACAGCATGTTGCCATGCTGAATACTCCAGGCAACTGTAACAAAATGGTAAGTATTTATGTAGCTGAACATATCTAAACATAGAAAAGGTACAGTAAAAATACAGTATGATAACCTTATGGGGCCACCGTCTTATATGCAGTCTGTCATTGACTGAAATATCATTATGCTGCACATGACTGTATTTCATTTGTATAATATACTTGAAGTTCTTTTTTGATGGTATTTTTCAGGGTGGTCAAGACGTTAAAAAGAAAGTTCACCTAAGTGAAAGAATTCACCCTTTTGTCAGGTCTGTTGGAAAAGATTCCATACAGTTTAAGCTGTGTCTGATTTACCTACATGTGCTTTTAGAATTACCTTGCTATCAATTTTCACTGCTGAGTAGCATTTTATAATAATAGCTACAGTTAACTGAGTGCCTGTTTTATGCTGCAGTATTCATGATATGTGCTTTACAATTGTTATCATTGGTCTTCACAACAACCTTATGAGAGACAAGACAGTATCTCTATTTACAGATAAGGAAAGTGAGTTTTAGAGAGAAAATACAATTTGCTTGGCATTGTACAAGTATTTGTTAAATTTAGAGTTCATGTCCTGGTCTGCCTGACTCCAAAGCCCATGCTTTTTCCACTTAATTCACTACTTCTCCAGGATACTGGAAAGACCCGTACATAAGGAGTAAATATCCCTATTCTGCCACTTACTATGACCTTGAAAAAATATTGGAGCTTCCATTTCCTTATCTGTATGATGGAGAGCATAACATTTGTTCTGCCTGTCTCAGAGTTGTGGCAGACTAAATGAAACAGTAAATGTGAAGTATATTTGCAAACTGCAAGCATTATGTGATTGTTGAGATGTTAAAACAAGCAATTCAGAGTAGAAACTATAGACTGTGCCCCACATTCTACTACTAATGTATTCTGTTTTCCTGAGTTGGTTGCTTTCTACCCTTGTTGCATATTTATGATGCTACTAACCTTCTATGTTGTGGAGTTTAAAAAGTAAACATTTCTTGAATACATATTCTGTGCCAGATACTGTGCTAGGTTCTTTCCCCTTAAAGCGTCTCCTTTCATTCTCATAACCTTGCAAAGGGTGGTATTCCCATTTTACCTAGTTCTAGAAATTCAGTGAAAATAAGCAATAGTCTCCCACCCAAGGGCAACAATACCTATGTGGCATATGTGTTGCTAATAGTGTTGGGACTTTGTTGTTATTGTTGTTCCTACAGAAGATCTATAAACATAATTAAAAACTACTTTGAAAAATATGCCTTGGTTGATCAAGATATTCTTGAAAATAAAGAAAGCTGGGATAAGATTTTAGCCCTTGTTCCTGAAAATATCCTTTCCCAAGAACTGGTTTTATGGATCCTGTCATATTATAAATGTGCAGACATGTCTGCTTGTGTGACATATACTTATTCCTATAAGTTTCTTTTTTTATGCAAAATATCTATTGTATTTCTGGATTTTTGTATCTTTTGTCTAGAATACAATAAGAATTGGAACCATTTTGTAAATCACCTTCCTCGTTTTGGAAGCTGGTCCTAGAATTAATGGGTAAAGAATGGTAACTCATTCAGTCAAAATATGTGCACACCGGGGAAAGCTTTACATTACACCTTATAGTTATTTTGACATTGTTTCTGTCATATCACCACTGTATTTTTACAGGGGAATTTTTCAAGGATATAAGTGTTTAATATTTGTGTTTCAGAGGACATTAATAATTACAAAGTATTTATAAGATATCCTTGTGATAATACATACTGAAAACTAAGTTGTTCATTGATGTGCCCTAAATGAGTGTGTTCCTTAATGACCCATCACCAGTTCATGATGAACTTCAACAAAACTTCCAAAAGTCTCATAGTTCACTTCAGCGTTGGGAGCATTTGAAGAAAGCAGCCATCAAATGTCAGGTATCTTCCAATGAAATCTGTATTACAAATATAATGCAATTCTTAATTAAATTCCAATTGTTTTGCTTAGTCAAAAATGGTTGAAGATCATTTTTTTAACTTTCTTTAAAGAAAACCTCAAATGTTCCTACTGATCCTCATGCTGGCCTTGCATCTGCTTTTAGAATAACATCAAAAATGACAAATGTGGACCCTGGCTGGAGTGGGAGATTATGCTCCAGTACTGTTTTCCACGGCTGGATATCAATGTTAGCAAAGGAATCAATCATTTACTGAAGAGTCCTTTTAGTGTTCATCCTAAAACAGGTACTATATAAAGAAAGTAAGAAAAACTAAAAGAAAAATGGAGCTGGGCATGGTCGCTCATGCTTGTAATCCTAGCACTTTGGGAGGCAGAGATGGGAGGATCACTTGAAGCCAGGAGTTCAAGACCAGCCTGAGCTACAGAGCAAAACCCCATTTCTACAAAAAATTTTAAAAATTAGCTGGTGGTGCATGCCTGTAGTGCCAGCTACTCTGGAGACTGAGGCAGGAGGATCAATTGAGCCCAGGAGTTTGAGGTTGCAGTGGGCTATGATGACACCACTGCACTCTAGCCCAGGCAGCAGAGTAAGACCCTGCCCCCCCCCAAAAAAAACAAACCTCAAAGATATGTTCTTTTTCCATTATCCTGCCTCCCTCAGTTTTTCTTTTTTTTTTCAGTAGTTTTAGCTTTACTCTTTAATATTTCTCTTAGATAAGATTTGGTGGACTGAAAGTGACTTTAAAATAGATATGAAGTAGCTATACTGGCATAAAACTTTGTTCCATCCAACCAGTAATAGAGGAGTTGTCCTCTTTAGTGTCAACAATCCAACTCTGTGGGACCTTAGGCAAATTAACCCTCCTGTGCCTCAGTATTGTCATCTGTAAAATAGAGATAATAATAGTATCTACCTCAATGGGTTACTGTAAAGATCTAAAATGTAAACTGCTTAGAAAAGTGTCTGGCACACATTCAATTCTTCCAAACTGCATAGTTTCCTTTCATAATCTATAATAACTCTGCAGTTCACACATTAATATAGCCCCTCTTCAAACCTGTCAAATATGTGTTTTTAGCTTATTTTGGTACTGAGGTTAATATTTCTTATTATTTAAGCTCAATTCTAAAGCTTCAGTGGGTATCCCTTCATTATAATATTCAAGGTTTGGGGCCCTCCTAGCACTCTGGGAGGCCAAGGCAGGAGGATCGCTCGAGGTCAGAAGTTCGAGACAAGCCCGAACAAGAGGAAGACCCCATCTCTACTAAAAAAAAATAGAAAGAAAAAAAAATAGAAAGAAATTAGCCTGACAACTAAAAATATATAGAAAAAGTTAGCTGGGTATAGTGGCACATGACTGTAGTCCCAGCTAC